GGCGCCGCCGGTGGCCCGGGGACTGTCTCCCCGCCGCGGCCGCCGGAGTTCCCCTCCCTCGGGTTATTCCCGGAGGGGACGTGCTGGCTTTTCCCCTTTCCTCTCCTGGCCGGACCTGCTTCTTTCACTGTCTCCCGTGGAGCTTGTCTCTGCCCTCCTTGGAGACCCTGCCCTCCCGACTCGGCTCCTTGCGTAGCTCCCCACCCCGCGTCCCCACCCTCTGCGCCGCTGTCAACATCCCCTCCATTTGAACATGTCTCTCAGATATATTTTCTCGCTTCCTCGATCGTTTCCTCATTTCCTGACCCAGCCATTTGGGAGCCATTCCCCTGGATTGTCTGCTGGAATGGCACTGAGCTCACGTACCTGCTGGGAAGGTGATCGGCGTCACAAGTGGAAGAGGGGGCGGAGCGGGGAGGGGGGGATGTCAGCATTACCGGGCGCGGCCAGATGGGGACCTGCCAAAACATGGTGGGTTTAAACACGGTGCAGCTGGAGAGCAGTGGTGATGCGGCTCTGGTCTCCGAGCTCTAGTTAACCTTGTCATTTTGTCCTTTTTCATATTGCTGGTATTAAAAGTGACTGTATTCTTTTTTTCTATCCCCGTATCATGTATGTATGTATGTGTGTATGTGTGTATGTGTTTGCCGGTGGGGAAATAGGGAGTTTTACTAGAAAAATGCTAATCTTGTTAGAAAACACATTTTTCATTTAGTACACGGTTTTCCATTTGAACCTTATAAACCTTTGTGTGTTGAAATGAGTGAAAAGTGTTCCATTTTCAGTGTCATGTTGTTGAATATAGTTTCCCTTTAGTATTCTGGTAGTATCATTGGAGATTCTTTTTTTTAAAAAAATATGTTTTATTGATTTTTTACAGAGAGGAAGGGAGTGGGATAGAGAGTTAGAAACATGGATAAGAGAGAAACATTGGTCAGCTGCCTCCTGCACACCCCCTACTGGGGATGTGCCTGCAACCAAGGTACATGCCCTTGACCGGAATCGAACCTGGGACCCTTGAGTCCGCAGGCCAACGCTCTATCCACTGAGCCAAACTAGTTAGGGCTCTTTGGAGATTCTTATTGTGAACCCTATTTAAAAAATGGACCTAGCAATAGTGGACTATTTTGTTGCAGCTAAATAGCATCTTATTCTGTAAACTTTGAGATAGTAATTTATTTCGTTAAACCTATTTTGCTGAGAATGGAGAAAAACATTAATACGCTTATGGTGCAGTTAAATAGTACTCTGTGACATTTTACAAATGTATATATGTTAGTGGAGATTTCACCTTTCAAATCTATTTGCACATGTGAAAGTTAGCTGTGAACTCGGAATTTCAATTAAGTGCATTTTGAGAAAAATGAAGGCTACTGAAAGATGAAATCCCAGGGTATGTAAGTTTGCATTTTTCTAAGATAAAAGCTCATGATACTTCCATTTCATCTGGTTTACATCTTGTAAAACCTCCAAGATCCATATTCTGAATTCTTTGGAAATTTATCTTTTTTTCCAGGACAGTTTGGAAAATATTGCTGCCAACATGTAAGGCATTTTTCAAGTTGTCAGTGTATATGGGTTTGGTGGTTTTATTTTTTTAAAAGGCATTCTTATTTTTGCAGACATTAACAAAAATAAAATGCAGTAGGTAAATAATGAGTACTGTTGCCAGTGGGACTTGTGTTTTTTTTTTTGTTTTTTTTTGTAATCTTGTTTCTTTCCTGTTCTTATTTGTTTTCCTTAATGGCATTAGCTGATTTGAATTCTTTCTCTTTGGGGATTTTGCTTATCAGAATTAACCATGTTCTCATGCACAAGTCACTACTCAAAACATTTTTAACTGATGTAGCTGTGCCTTAAAATAATTTATTATATTGTCACATTTGCTTTCAGTGGTTACAACTAGTTAAAACTTAACTATTAGTTTTTAAAAGTTTCTAAAATCAAAGTATTGAAATTTGCTTTTTCAGTTTTAAGGCTTTTGTTCCCTCTACACCATCTTTCAAAATAAGTGGACAATATCATATTTTATTGTGTGTATTTTGTTTTGTTTTCAAACTGGAGATATGTCCTACCTAGACTTTGAATGGGTGGAGGCATTCCCTTAGAGTAGAGGGCAAAAATCAGTTCTAAAGATACTAGTCACTTTAAGTAGATAGGGCATCTGTTTGTTTTCCTTGAAGGTAAAGTGTTGAGAATCTTAGCATAGTTTAAATTTGGATTTTAATTCCCGTTACTACGTAGTAATTTTATCTGGTTTTGTTAAAAATTGCCTGATCAATAACTGTAACTAGGTGTATGCCAGAGAAGCAGCTGACTTGGTTTCCAGTAGGCTATTATCTAGGAACCAATCTGTAGTTGTGGCTCGTATGATGAACACAACTTGTGTGGCTGCCTTTAGCTCAGTTTTTTTTTTTTAAACTCTGGAAAGATGAATAAATTTGAGTGATAAACAATTTAAGTTGTAAAGTTGGAGACAGGCAAGCATGCTTAGGAGTAAGGTATTTGGCATTCCATATTGGAGAGTTAGCATAGATGCCCAGGACCATCAAAATGACTTACGACCATTAACCAATGCACAAGTTTTATGTGGAAACTTTTTCCCATGGTCTCTTCCCTTCCAATGTTAAATGGGTCTGAATTTTGTTAAGTAAAGCAGTGGATAACAGTGTAGAGCTACAAAAAGCCTTGATTGTTATCTGTCTAATTTCAGAAAAAGTCAGGTATGATAGGTAGTTTCATTGTGTTATGGGACATTCAGTTTTGTATAGTAGGAAATAAGCAATGTTGCCAAACTATGAAGTAGTTGACATGGCTTGAAGCTGTTAGGCCACATTCTACTTTGATGTTCTGTATTTTAAAGGATTATGGGCCTGTAACAAGCTAACTGCTAAGATTTCAAAGGTATTCTGTGTCAAAGTTAAATTGGCACTGTATATTGTAGCAGTAGTTTCCCAAACTGTATTTCAGAATGATGAAATAGTCTTAGAAGATTTGTAACATATGTTAACATAATAAAACATACATTTGCATTTTAAAACCATGAGAAATTCTGAAGTATGATGGTTTGGATTTGTTTAACCTAGCCTAAACCTTGGCCACAGATTTTTGAAAGAAAATTTTAAGATTATATTAACATTTCCAAAATGTTAGTTTTCTATGAACATAATGAAGTGTTCATATTATAAAGATACTTTGCTCTTTTATCTGGAGAATTAGTTACCCTTGATAAATCAGCTGGGAAGGAGGTTGACTATTAATGGTTGAAAAAACGTGTTAAAGTCATCTGGGCTTATATTTAGGATGTGTTTTTTACAATTTGTGAACCCTTGGCTTCATTAGGATTATTATGAGTTATGTAATGTAATATACTTACTATATATAGTATATACAGTGGGGCCTTGACTTACAAGTGTCCCGACTAATGAGTTTTTCGAGATACGAGCCATCTCTCGGCTGATTTTTTGCTTTGAGTTGCGAGCTAAAATTCGGGTTACGAGCCAGCTTCAGATACCCCACCGCTAGTTGGCGCAGCAAACGTCACAGTGAACGCCACAACATCAGTCCAGCATCATGTGTCTCACTCGTTCACTTTATGATTTGACATACGAGTAATTTGAGTTACGAGCTCTGTCACGGAATGAATTGAACTCGTAAGTCAAGCCCCACTGTACTCTATATACTATATGTCTACACTATATACATAGTATAGAGACTGGTACATGAAAATAAATATTATAAATAATGTCAAGTAAATAAACTATAAAATATTAAAAATATTTCGGAGAAACCAAGATGGCGGCATAGGTAAACACTGGAAATTGCTGCTTCGCACAACCACTTCAAAAGTACAACTAAAAGACAAAAACGGACATCACCCAGAACCACAGGAAGGCTGGCTGAGTGGAAATTCTACAACTAGAAGGAAAGAGAAAAGCACACTGAGACTCAGAGGAGGTGCGGAAGTAAAGTGCAGAGGTACGGGGGCACACGTGGATAGGGCTGGCAACTGAGGACGCGGTTGTCTTTTTCAATCGGGAGGGAGACACAAGCTCCCGACTGCTCTGAACTCCAGTTCTGGGCGAGTCTCTGGGGACATATGGGGAGAAACTGGACTGTCTGGCATCCGTCGGAACTCGAGGGCGGCTTTCTCTCAGAGGTGCTTGCAGCGATTACCGCGGGACACTGGGACCCGGGGCCTCTTAGGGCAGGGCTGAGGATCAGCCATAGCTGTTTGCTCTGTCCTGTTGATTCCCTGAGACCCCACCCCACCCAAATTGTTCGCAGAGGCTTTTGCATGTGAATGGCCTGGCCCTTTGCAATCTAAAATTACCTAACAAACTGCAGCTGGGTCAGAGAGACCCAGAACATCCAAAAGAAGGCCCAAGGCCCCACAGCAGCTTGCATCGCTTCACAGCTGGGCTTCATCTGGGCACCATCAAACCCCAGACAAAGAAGAGGAATCTGCAGATCTCTCCAAAGCTCCTGCTGGGTAGCCTCAGGCAGAGGCTAAATTAGCACCTCCTTAGACATTCAAGAGCCAGTGTACCTAGTGGTCAGAGTGGGACCATCCAGATTACAACTCCTCAGATCCATAAGGGACACACTCAGGGGGCAGACTCAGTGAGCACCAAAGCCCCACTGAAGCAAGTCTTACCCCTAAGGGTGTCTCCAGCACAGAAGTTCTCCCACTGTAGACACAGCTGATTCTCACAGCCAATTGGCCTGGAGTAAATTCCTCCCAGTGATACCTACAACAATCAAGGCTTAACTACAACAAGACTGTGCACAAAGCCCACAAAGGGGTGCACCAAGAGTGTCCACCTCAGGTAATTGGGGAGGCTGAGCCACTGGGCCCTATAGGACACCTAGCACAGAAAGCCACTCTGTCAACACAGGGAAGCATAAAAAATGCGGGGACAAAGAAACAGGTCACAAATGACAGAAATGGAGGAAAGCAAGCTACTGGATATAGAGTTCAAAACCACGGTTATAAGGTTTTTCAAGAATTTCCTAGAAACCGCCGATAAATTTAGTGAGACCCTCGAGGTTATGAAAAAGGACCAACTAGAAATTAAGCATACACTGACTGAAATAATGAATATTATACAGAGTTCCAACAGCAAACTAGAGGATCGCAAGAATCAAGTCAAAGATTTGAAATACGAAGGAGCAAAAAACACCCAACCAGAAAAACAAAAAGAAAAAAGAATCCAAAAATATGAAGATAGTGTAAGGAGCCTCTGGAACAACTTCAAGCATACCAACATCCAAATTATAGGGGTGCCAGAAGAAGAGAGAGAGCAAGATATTGAAAACCTATTTGAAGAAATAATGACAGAAAACTTCCCCTACCTGGTGAAAGAAATAGACTTACAAGTCCAGGA